ACCCAAATATAGTAATCACACTTATTTACGATCGAGGAGGATGACGAGTCACACCACTTTAAGCAGGTTGAGTAGAATAAAGTATAGTATCTATTTATTTAAAAATAACGCTTGATAAAAAGAAATAGCAACCAAAATATTTCTGGTTCGGTACTGTTTAGCGTTTCATAGTCTGTACAGTTACATAGTCTTCTTATTATGATCTAAGCTTCATTATTGGCGAAAGAAAAAAAAATGACGCCAAAAACTTGCATACCCTTTTACTACCTAAAAAGTGCCTAATGTTTATTATGTACTAGAATCTAGTACATAATAAACGTTAGGCGCTTACAGTCTACAGTCTAGTAACTAGACTGTAAGCGAAAAATATGAACACGTTAACTTTTTATAAAGCTATCTTGGAATTTTTTTTATCGAGCGTGCATTGAGAGGCTTTGCACAACGCGAGGCGTGTACGACACGATTGTAGCTACTTTAGATGGTAGTTTAATTTTACTAGCTATAGTTTACATTAATTTTTAAATATTAGGTACAAATAATATTAATATATAATTTTAAAATATGTTTTGAGGAAAAATGATACTGTGTACAGTTTAAGGTCTTCTAGTTCATACTTGTTACTTATGATTTAACTATACATATATATTACTAGTTTTGGGTAATGCAATCGTGATACAATCTTACTAATTTAATTACACAATAAGATAAAATATTTAAAATTATAAAAAATAGGTCATTAAAATTAAACATAAGCACATTAAATCACATCTCCTGTCATCATTTCGTGACGACACGTTTGGCTGTAGTGTAGTATGCAGTAGTAATACTTGCTGTGCCAACGGTCGCGGCTTCGAGTCCTGCTGGGGGCATTCATTTGTGTGATGAGCACGAATGTTTGTACTCCAGTCATGGGTGTTACCTTTTTAGTTCATATTTTACGCAGTCATTTTTTTATTTTGGTCAGATTAGATTACAAGTCTTTAGTTTTATTTACGTTATATATAAGTTGTATATATTTTTGTAATCTGTACACATATTTGTAAACAAAATTCATTTGTGTTTCGCCGCAGTCGGGTAAAAATTAAATTGCCAAATCGTAATATTAAAATATCCTTAGGTTGTTGAATATGTAATTTACTTCGATTATATCGGTTCATCAAGCACGATCGGTCACTACTGCATTTACATGCAAGGTATATACTATATGTAAGTTAGGTATAGATAGTCGCATGTCTGGAAAATTTTCAAACGACTGACCGTATAAAAGGGTCTACAGTTTTATAGGGTTGAAGAACTGTTAATAATGTTTTAGGTTCGATAAAATTAGTACTTCTAGATGTGAACGATAATGAATATTTAGTTAGAAATGAGAGTTATATTGATATAATAATAATAATCTATTCGAAGAATAAGTACTCAATTTTATTTTTATTGATATTGTTCAATTAAATGACAGTCAACGGATATTAAAAGCGATCTCAAAAATGTTTCATTAAATGTACCTAAATGTGGCAATGATGAGACACTTGTAAATGTGGAAATGTCATTTAGGTAAGGCTGGTAGGTACTTTAGTTAATTTAATATAGTTAAATTTCAATTCAATAACGTCTATCCTCAGACTAAAGAATTATATAGACGGAGTCTCCCAAAATATATTTTAAAGTCAAAAATAGTAGCGTGATTAGGTGTTTATGCTACGAGTAGGTACTATTCTCGATTTTGCCATAAAGTTTACCTTTTAGATTTTTGAAATTTTATAGGTATATGTACTTATTAATTAAATTAATATAATTTTTTTGTAGAATAAAATATGAATAACAAAATGATCAGTACTATATTCTTTTGTATTTTTTAAGCATGCAGTTCCCTTTGAAACAGAGATAGCATAATGGCTTTTATTTTCTTTATTATAATAAAATCCGTTCGTAATTTTATTTATTAACCTTTATGAACATTTATTACAAATTGTCATATATACTACTTTAACATTATTATTTAGCTTCATGTTTAGTTTTGTGACATTCGTCTATTATTCCTATCCTATTTGAGCATTTATCGTACAAAATTATTTAAAAATAGTAGGAATTTAATATTACAAAAGTACGATACAAAACTTTTAGAGATTTCTACCAATTTATACTATCGTCTTCAACTTTTTATCGGAACGAGTTCATTTGTCATTTCCTTATGTTAAACAACAGCTTTTTATTTTGGGCACATGTAGACACTTTATGTGTTAAATATGTATTGAAAATGGTATGTAACTAAAAACCGGTCAAGTGCGACTGCGAGTCGGAATCATACACGAAGGGTTCGGTACAAAATATTATAACACTATGTAGGTACTAATTGGTCTTTTTTTAATTTGCACGGCAGCCATTTTGAAATTCACTATTATGGTTTGGTTATTGTTTGTTGTTATAGCAGCGCAATAAATACCTACTTACATATAGGTACTATTTTTATCTAATACCTTTTACCATTTAACATTTAACCATTCCCAAGGAGGGTTGACGTCAGGCAGGCGGCCGGTCGTAAAACTTTTGGAAAATCCTATCAGCAGTACAGAAGATGTACTGCGCCGACCCCAAGTGATTGGGAAATGGGCAAGGAGAAGAAGAAGAAGACCTTTAACCGAGCAATTCTTGTATATTTATTTGTTTATAGCAACCGGCGATCTTGGATACGGCTCTTACGATTTCGCTGAAGTTTGGTACATGAGGGTTTTCGGGGACGAAAAATCGATCTAGATTAGTCTTATGTCTAGGAGTGTTGTGTTTGAGTTTTTATGCAGTTCTTTTTCGCACTTTCCACGCAAAATATGGTCACTAATTTCGCACGCTCGGGCATAAGCATAGTGGTCAAGGGGCCAAGGCGCAAGATTGACAATCACAAGTGTCCGGGTTCAATCCCGGTCGGATACAAAGCTTTTACTATTGTTTTTTTTTTTGTATTTTATTCAACTGAAAAACTGAACTCCGAGCGAAGCTCGGTCACCTAGGTACTAAAATTAATTACCTACTGATTAAACGGTCAAATCAAAACAAATGATTCATTATGAAGAGTATAAAAATGTTTTAGAAAATCGTGTAGGTGACATTCCACATAATACTAGCTAGCATTGTAGAATAAATTCTTTTTTAATAATTAAATTAATAAAATGAATTAAATAGTTTTTATTTTCAGTGCAGTGCGGTTCACTGCCTCGGTGGTGTAGTGGCTAGCATGTACGGCTGCACACCCGGAGGTCCTGGGTTCGAGTTCCGGGTCGGGCCAAGTTTAGTTATTGAGTCTTTCTGTATAGTAAGTCTCAGTAACAGCCCGGAGTTGGGAAGTTGGCGGTGTTTCACCCCCGTGCCTCGGAGAGCACGTAAAGCCGTCGGTCCTGCGCCTCAACTCTCACCGGTCGTGTCGAGTGGTCGTCCCACCGGAGTATGAGAGGGATAGGAATAGAGAGTGCACCTGTGTCTGCGCGTACACTTGAGCACTATAATATCTCCTGCGCAGTTGGCTAATCTCAATGAGATTGGCCGCCGTAGCCGGAATCGGCTAGGAGAACATCATCATTTTCGGTATACGAATAACAAAAAATTGTAATTCATTACCTGTCAATCGCTTCTAGACAACACTTTGTTTATGAAAGATTGCTCTAGATTTTTGGTAGGTTATGTCATAAACACGCGTACAAAATCGACATAATTTGAACGATGTTTTCAGCAGATAAAAAAAAGAAAAAGGAAATTATTTCTTTTATATTTATATGTACGTTTCAATGAAAAAATATTTATGTACAATTTTATGTAATAGACCTACATAGATATTATGTACCTAGGTACTCTGTACCACGGTAATGTTATATAACATTACCGTGTTTGTACTTACCTTTACAAAACGTGATACTTAAATGTGATGTTATTATTTGGTTTTTACAAAAATACCTAATGCAAATCATAAGTAAATTTCCTTATAACTAACGTTTCCATATAGGTAATTTTAATTAAAATATTGATTTATTTTGACACGTTTAGCTCAGTTTGTAGTGTACTTGCTGTGCCAGCGGTCGCGTGTTCGAGTCCCGCTGGGGGATATTCATTTGTGCAATGAGAAGGAACGTTCGTATTCCAGTCATGGGTGTTTATATTTATAATATGTATGTATTTAAAGTTATATATATGTAGTGTACTATCTGGTATCCATAACACAAGCCACGTAGCTTACCATGGAACTTTCTGGTTCTGTGTGTTAATGTCCTAGCATATTTCTTTCTTTATTATTATTTATTATATACACTACATAGTACATACATATAGAGGTTTACTATTAAAAAATAACTATTAACTACTTATCGAGATTAAAAATAAAACTACAATACTGATCGACTATAATATATTTTACTCTTAAAATATCAAAATACAATTATGATCTAAAGTAAAAACATTAAATAATATTCATATAAATAGCCAAGTATAAACTGTCACTTTTATTACGATAGATCAGGATTAAATTACACAGTGTATATTTATATTATAATTTATAAAATATTATTCATGGTTCTTGTACATAAGTTCACGAAATACATGAAGCGTCTAATGATATCTAATCTCATACGACTTACATGACAACACTACAGCGTTAATAACCACTTACGTAATAAATATTATTCAATCTAAGTTCAAAATTTAAAATCTCAACAATTTATATATATGAACAAATTGAGATAAAATTATTATATTAACTATTTATAAACGTGTAGCAACTGTCTTTATCTAATGACGTAACCATTATGGAACATTTTGTTTTCCCGCCCAAAATGACCATAGATTATATATTTTTTTAAATGGTTCTAAAATATCAGTAACCTCAACATTAGTGATACATATTTCTGAACTTAATTTTTTTTTCGATTTTTTTTCATTGCGTGTATTGTGCATATGGGAAATTGTTTGAGATGTTACTGCTAAAGCGAGTTTCATGTTTTTATATAAAATGTCTATGTTTAATATGCGTGGTTAGCTACGAATAGACCGGCTTCAGCGCCCACACCTGTTACGGATCCAGCGACGTATTTGCCTTGAGAAGCTTGGCCGTTAGCCTGAAAAAAAAACGAGAATTAGTACAAAGATCAAAAGGTCTAAACAAACCCATTTGTGTCTTGTTCGGCGCCTACAACGTGCGCAAACGTCATATATACCTAAAATATCGTAATGTTTACAGTACAGAAAATTAACTTAATTTGTACTCTTTGAAATCCAAACAACATGTTTATTATAAAAGCGAAAATTTATGAGTTTGTTGCTTATTTCAAAATCTCTCCTAAACACTCTGCATCTTATGTATGAGTATTATTCCGATCAGTTCAGTAGTTATCGCAGTATAACCGAACATAAAAATCGGCTCTCCATTTATTATCTATACATATAATAAAATTGTAACGAAGCCGAATCTGTATATTAAATATTTTTTGGAAAATCTAATCGATGCAGAAGCCGAATTTATAGTTTTAAGAATTTTTGTCTGTCTGTTACCGCATCACGAGAAAACCAATGGACAGATTTTGATGAAATTTGGTATGATGAAAGTTGGTTATCCGGGTCAACATATAGGATACTTTTTACTGCGGGAAAATATCTCATCTCTGATAAATCTGTACTAAACGTTAAACCGTTAACCAGGGACGAACCCGAGCGGAGCGAGGGTGAGTCGATAGTATTATATATTATATGTAATATGTTAAAACCCAACAGGAACTTACAACGAAGACTACATTTTTTCCCCTCATTACCTACTCACTACCCTTACTACTCTTATCTTACGATTAGAAAGGTTAAGCTGGCTTTTTATGAACCAGCCGAAACAAATGGTTCCCATAAGGGGGCGCCCTTTTTATTTCATTTTGATTAAGGCAGTCAGTTATACGTGATGGACTGCCACGCAGACGTATGGCGTTACATAGCAATTCTTCTCCTTGCACATTCTTTATTATATATTAAGACACTATCGACTCAACCTCGCTTCGCTCGGGTTCATCTTTACTTACGTTTTAAGGATTGAGGGATTTTGATAAAATTTCGTATGAAGATAGCTGCTTATCAGGGCCAACATATAGGATTATTTTAACTGCGGGAAAATATCTCATCTCTGAGAAATCTATACAAAACGTAAGTAGGGACGTACCCGTGCAGAGCGAGGGTGAGTCGCTAGTTATTACTAAATAATAGGTAGGTAGTAGGTACTTTCATAGTATTAAAAAAAATCATTTAAATTCTTTTAAGAGTGCCCATTCCAAACTTGGTAAGATAAGATATCTTCTAAAAGCAAATAGCATAAAAGACAAAGGTATTATGAAAAGAATATTATGGGTTATTTGATTTTCCATCATCATAACCACATAAATAAAAGTAGTTTGGAGCTTAGAGTGTATACAATGAGATTAATTTGTTAATTTCATTCTAATAAAAATGATGTATTTTAGGTAGTTCTGTACCTACGCTTGATACTTATAATATACTAGCATTGCTCGCGGCTTCGCCCGCGTTCAGATGAGCAAAAAGCAAATTCTTAGGTTTTACATATTAGTATACTCTTACAATGCAGTTTTTATTTTTTCTCAGAAATGGGATATTTTCCCGCGGTAAAAAGTATCCTATATGTTGACCCGGATAACCAGCTATAACCATACCAAATTTCATCAAAATCCCCCCAGTGGTTTTTCTGTGATGCGGTAACAGACAGACAAACAAAAATTCTAAAAAATATATATTCGGCCTCTGTATCGATAATAAAGTCTATTTCAATAAGATTTTCCAAAAAATATTTAATGTACAGATTCGGCTTCGTTACAATTTTATTATATGTATAGACCAAGATGAAGTTTCTTAGACGGAGCTTTTCTGGAACTACCAATCCGATAGAAAAATAACTTTTAGTCTATTTATTGAGGAAAGTTATAGGCTAAGTTGTATTACCTTACGACATTTGGACATTATGTATTGGAGCAATTGCACTTAAATAAATAACGCGGCGGCGGCGGAGCCGTCGGTAATGTTTGATGATATACTATTATTAGCCTTGTGTGGGAATCAAACCCGTAATATACTTAAATGGTGACGTCTCACATATATTGTTCATTAAGTAAAATATTGGAAACATAATATACGATTTAAAATTCAAAACTACGAAAAAATAAAAGGAACTACTACAAAGTACTGCTACAAATACTAAAAGCAAAATATAAATAAGACAAATTTCATGACAAAAAAGATCCTGCCTTTGTATAGCTTTACTTTTCGTTAAAGTTGATTTTTTATCAGTCCAACACAAAAATGGCCTAAACTACATTTTCATTTTTTATTTATTTATACTTGAAAAAAATGAAATAAATAATTTTCGCATCTTAATTTCTAATTATTTTCTGTTAGACGACACGTTTGACTCAGTTGGTAGTGACACTACTTGCTATGTGAGCGGTCGCGGGTTCGAGTCCCGCTGGGGGCATTCATTTGTGTGATGCGCACGAATGTTTGTACCCCAGTCATGGCTGTTTATATTTATAATACGTATGTATGTATTTAAAGTTATATAAATGTGTAGTGTATCAAATATCTGGTATCCATAACACAGGCCTTGTAGCTTACCATGGAACTAGATGGTGTAGTGTGTTTATGTGCCAACATATTAATTTATTTATTATTTTGTATACATTGATTGAATAATACATGAAATTGTTTTATACATTTTTTATTAAATTTTTAAAGTTAGGCCACTTTTGCGATGACAAACTGACAAGAAACTTACCTTGAACATATGAAGCATGCATAACACAAACGAGAAAAACAACAAGATATAAATGCTTTATTTTTTATTAAGAACAACAATTGTTAGTACAAAGACGGTTAAACACAAAACTAAAATCTAAATATGATATGATCTACATTTATTCATAAAATGAAAATATTATAAAAAGCGTATATCTATATATAATTTATTAAACATGTCACAAAATGTAAAAAAAAATATTATATTTGTAACAAACGTTGTCATAAAATATAAAAAATAATAACATTGATCTTAAATTATTAAGTCTTTTCAAAATAGATTTCTGTATTTGTTAAAGGGCTTTAATAAGCGTGTGCCTTAACAAAGTTTGATTTTTGGGAGGCCAAAGACGGAATCGAACCCGCTACATACTTCCCTTGACAGGCGAGACCGTTAGCCTATATTTTATAGCAACAAATACATTTTAGTTTTAATGAAAACGAAATTAATGATTTATTATATTAGTGAGTGGAGGTTTGAGTGTCGGCATGGAGCGGTGCGTCGATGCGAAGGAGACGTGCGTTAGAAATAAAAAAAAATTATATTAGTTCTATTCTACGTACAAAGCAGACAAACACAAATGCTGGACAAAAATATATTTTTATTTAATAGCTACCATAAGACAATATAGACTAATGTTCATTTCAAATAGTACTTAATACTCAGTTTTTTTTAATGTTATGTTCATGAATTAAAATTTTTTTATGGCAAAGTTAAATATACTACGTGCTAATTAATAAAAACACACACACACACACAAAGCAAACAAAGTACTTATCAATACACTAAAATATGCATGCAAAATGTCAAAGCTAGTATTCTACGCACCTTTATTTTGCTGTTGTAAAATAGGTCTTAAGTAATTAAAACTAAAGTATATAAAATAACAAATACGACTTACCTTTGACTTTTGAGTATATTCATTATTTAACCGCCATCTTGTTAAGTAAAACTAGTAATATACCTATATTATTCAATAATAATATTAAAAAAAATCGATGTGTATGTTCCCTATGGACTGTAAAACGGCTGGAGCAATTTTGATGAAATTTTCGAGCAATCTTCAGATTAGCCCAGCGAGTGATATTGTTAAGTTTGGTAGCGATCGGATCAACAGAAATGTTTATAGTCGCTTGAATGAGGGTGGAGCCGCGGGCATTGCTGATAATTAATATATAATATAATAGATATGATATGTACTGATTCGATCTGAATAAATTATATAAAAGAATAATGCAGTGACAGAAACTTCTACCAAACCTTAAGATACCAGGATATCATAAACAAATAGAATATTACCTTATAAGTGCTTAAATCATTCCTGTTATATCATCACAACATGTTTTTTCTCTTATTGGCAAGAATAAATAAACACCGCTTGAAGTACAGACTTTCAATGTCCTTCACCTTGATCAACCATTGCTTCTAACTTTTAGATACTAGGATATCATAACCATACAGAATGTTACTTTAAGAGTTCTAAATCAACACAGGTCTTATTTGTAGAAAAATGTTATTCTTCTTCTGCCAATCTATACTACTAATATAAAGAGGAATGATTTGTATTTTTGTATTTTTGTAACGATTAAACTCAAAAACTACTGGACCAATTCAGATGAAATTTGGTAAGAATATAACTTGAGACCCTGGGAAGGACGTAGGATATTTTTTATCCCGAAAATCATCCCTTAAGTGGGTGAAAATGGGGATGAAAGTTTGTATGGGGAATCAACCTAGGGATGAACCCGATAGAAGCGAGGGTGAGTCACTAGTAAGTAATATATATATATATATATATATGTATTTACAATAAGATTTCCCAATTCTCTTCAATCGATCATTTCTTATAACTTTAACATACCAGGATACCATAACCAAATAGAATGTTACCTTAGAGTTCTTAGTCAACTCCTGTTGTCTGAATGGAATATTCTCGTACTTTTTTCCAATAAGCCTTATAATCAACCATTGCTTATAAGTTATAACTTTTAGGTACCAGGACATCATAACCAAACAGAATATTACCTTGGCACGCTTCATAAGCTCCTGTTGTCCGGCTAGAACGTTCTCGTTCTTTCCCTGCCAGGCGCGGAGGACTGAGGCCTGGAGGGCACGGCCGTAGCTGAATGTGAGGGACCACGGCCTCTTGAGGTCCACAGTGTTGATGGCGTTCAGGTTAACTGACGCCTCTTCCTCAGATTGACCACCAGAGAGGAAGGTCACTCCTGAAATTTGGTTGTTTATTGTTATTTCATGACAATTATTATAATAAGAAAATTATAGTAATGTGTATATTTTGTTGGTCTTTTTTCTCTATATTTTTTTTAGTTTTTGCATAGATCTACTCATTGAGCTGGATAGTGCTGGGAGTGCGGTATATTAAGTATCTTTCAGACATGCAGGTTTCCTCACAATATTTTCCTTCATTAAACAAGTGGTAACACGTTGGAAATGATTCACACATTCAAACATTAAAATATCAGCGATACCCGTGATTTGAACCCGCTTCACTCTGTTTCTCAAGCGAGCGCGTTACCACTGGGCTACCACTGCCTATGGATGTTATATCTAGTACTTCTTAACTAATTATTAGTTATAAAATAAGTGTATTACCGGGAACGGCGGCGGGCACGGTCCTTAGGAGAGCGGTGACGGTAGCGCGGCCAATGTCCATAGGCGTGTAGGTCTTCTTGCACGACTGACCGGCGGTTACCTGTAATTATCATATATACAATATTAATATATTTATCATATTGAATTTTTTTTATTTATCATTTATATCAAATTTAGAAATTATATTGTTTTTTTTTAAAGAATAGTTCTATGATTTTTTTGAGAATTTTTTGTGAACAAAAATATTTATTTAAAATACATATATGAATTAGATTATTATTTTATATAGGTATACCTACCTATATAAAAGCTACAACATTCGAAATTACCGAAACGTTATATTAAAAACTAAAGTATGTCTAAAAGTGAACGTCTTTCGGTTTAAGTATGAACTTAGATTTATTTCATATATTTTTATCTTAATTATACAAGAAAAAATTACAATGGAACTATTTCCACGAGTATACCTTATCTACTTAGATCTATATATTAATACGTGAAGAGAAAACTATGAACGGCCACTTAAGCATATTGCTTGTATGGAGTATGAGCTTTGGCATAGTTAAAGTATGTATAGAGTAGGACTTGCTTTTACCCGTGAATACGTTCGCGAATTTTATCTATACATATAATAAAATTGTAACTAAGTCAAATCTGTACATTAAATATTTTTTGAAAAATCTTATTGAAATAGAAATTATTATCGATGCAGAGGCCGAATCTATAGTTGTTAGAATTTTTGTCTGTCTGTTACTGCATCACAGAAAAACTACTGGAGGGATTTCGATGAAATTTGGTTATCCGGGTCAACGTATAGGATACTTTATACCGCGGGAAAATGTCTCATTTCTGAGAAAAAATACAAAACTGCAATGTAAGAGTATACTAATATGTAAAACCTAAGAATTTGGTGTTGGTCATCTGAACGCCGGCGGAGCCGCGGGCAATGCTAGTTTATATATAAATACTTCAATGCTAAATGATGTAGCATGATGTTAGATAACCTTCATCAATATTATATAAATAATTACATAATATTAAGAAAGTTTATTTGTCTCTACATGCAAATCTCTGAACCTTTAAGGGCCCATATCAAAATTATTGGATTTTATAGGCTATCTATATAACTTTGACAAAAGAACCTCAATATCGATCAAACTTAAGGAATTATGGTTGATTTTAATATTATTATGTATAAAATGCAATATTATATATCGATATGCAAAAAAATCTCATTTTTATTCGTGTGAGATATGAGAAATAACACTAATTAAAAATATATTTACTCACCATGTTAGGCTTGAGGAGTGTGCCCTCAAGGTAGACGTGATGATCGTTCAACGCCTTGTAGACAGCGGCCAATACGGTCTCTGTCACCTTTTGGGCGCGGTCCAAGTCGTGTTCACCTATATTAAATAGATATTATATATTAATAGACTAGGGAGTACTTATAACGTTTTGTTTGGAATGTGAGTACAACCAATAATATCAATAATAATATAAATATTAAATAATCTATACTAATATTATAGAGACTTGTTTAGAATTGTTTCTCGTATAAATTTTACTACGACTTCTTTTAACTTAAGCATATTTTGCAAATGCCAATAAACATTGCAAATTCTGAAAAAATCGTCAAGTTTATCGAATTTAATTTGAGAATATGACAGACTTGATCTGTTTTCAAAAAAAAAATCCATAAAACTAAAATACACTCACCATCAGGCAACACTTCAGGCTCAACAATGGGTACGATACGCTGGCTCTGGCAGATAGAAGCGTAGCGGGCGAGGACATTGGCGTTCTCCATGATGGCCTGGTACGATGGTGTGTTGCGGCCGATCTTGAGCACACAACGCCATTTAGCAAAGTGGCAGCCGTCCTTCTTGTATTGGGCGCAACGTTGGGCAAGATCGTCCAAGCCTATTATTAAAACAAATAAGAAATTATATATTGCGTCAATCTATCCATATTTTTGAAGTGAAACTTCTTTACAATCGTTGTGATATAAAACTCGATGAAACGAAAATGCGACACTAAAAGAGGAAAACATAAATATATACATTAAGCCGGCGAGAAAATGAGATAGAGTACAACGCCATGTTGCCATGGTAACCGTTGTTATTTTTCTGACGAATATATAATATTACTAGCGGACCCGACAAACGTTGTCCTGTCTACACTTCGATGGTAGCGCCGTCTGTCGGATCCAATGTAAAACATTCCAAAATCAACAACTACTAATAAATTAAAAATTAATTAAAAAAACATTGTCCAGCGGACAAAATTGTGAATCTAAACCATTCCCAGATCCCCTTGAACACACACAAAAAATTTCATCAAAATCGGTCTAGTCGTTTGAGAGAAGTTCAGTGACATACACACTCACAGAAGAATTATATATATAAAGATATTCTTTCTGTATATATAAGAGGGTGATTTTTAAAACAAAATTTAAACCTCTTAAGATTAAAACATCTTTCAATATTATAAAAAATAATCTACATAATAAATATAAAACAACTAGAAATTAATATTTGTTAATTTTTATCGATTAATATTTTATATCTACTACTAGCAATAAGAATATTAAAAAAAAATGAAAAAAAAAAACTCGTGAATAATCTACAGCTGCGTTTAAAGCGAACATAAAAAGCATTTCTAGCTCAATCTTGAACAATATATTTTTCTGTTCAACATTTATTTGCATATGTATGTTTATGTATATATTTATATGTACGTATATATTTATATAGTTTTGGTATGTATTAGATTACATGTTTATATTATATATCTATACTTGTATTTATGTATTTATCTTTTATAATATGTATGTTATTAAAATATGTATATGTTTTGTATATTTTCATATATGTATATTAATGTATTCATATATCTAAATTTTATTTATGAGTCATACTTCACTATAAAAAAACTTTCTCTTTCTGTCCCGCTATTTAATACTGTTTCCCACATGCATGGGTTGACTTAAAGAGATCTCCTATAGAGATAAATCCACCTCCACGTCACTTTCTATGTATTTTTTTTTATAACTTATTTGTGCAATAAGGAATATATATATATATATATATATATATATATATATATATATATATATATTATAGAACGGCCATTTACGTTGACTAAATTATATGTAAATACAAGCGTGTACACTGTCACGTATCTCGTTTGGGCAGGAGTCATTAACCTTCGATTTTCAAGCTTGGAACTTGCATAACTTATGTATGTATTGCACAGTCATTACTAATCGTGTTTTAAATTTTTACGGTTTACGGAATAAACAATTAAAAAAATGAAATTATAAATTATATTATCATATTTTGAAGAATTAAACAAAAAAAAACCCTACATACTGTGTTGTGTTTTCATACAACAAAAATTTAAGATTACCTTTTCAGTTTTTACCCAAAAAATTACAATTTCATTTCATTCTTTGAGATAGAACCTGTACACAATTGGCGAATGCAGTACCTCCTTTTTTGAAGTTGGTCATAAATAAGAATAATGTAGGTACATGCACTCAATTGTTGTGTATTGTTACGAATCGATTTTAGCGACACTTATATTTTACTAGCGTTGCCTAAGACCAAATTCTTAGGTTTTACATATTATTATACTCTTACATTGCAGTTTTTGTATTTTTTCTCAGAAATGAGACATTTTCCCGTGGTAAAAAGTATCCTATATGTTGACCCGGATAACCAGCTATCACCATACCAAATTTCATCAAAACCCCTCCAGAGTTTTTTCTGTAATGCGGTAACAGACAGACAAACAGACAAAAAATCTAAAAACTATAGATTCGGCCTCTGTATCGATAATAATGTTTATTTCAATAAGATTTTCAAAAAAAATATTTAATATACAGATTCGGCTTGGTTACAATTTTATTATATACATATAGATTACATATTGTACGTAGTTACGTATACCTAAAGTAGAGGTATAAAGGCTAACATAACATAGATAAAATATTTTATTTTTACACATTGTTTTCCAAATATTATTCAAGTATTTCATTCTTATTACAACAACTTTGTTTACGAATGGCATGAGACTTTGCCTCACATTATCGCCGGCCAAGTGACGAGCCCCTATTGAATAAACATGATAATATGAAATTGCATAATACGACATAGAAACAGGGTTCAAACCTTTATTTGTTTTGATTGTTATACATTGAAATTTATAAAAATTTAATGTAAATCATTATCACAAGTTTACCTAATATTATGATTGCGAAATTGTTTTGTTTGTTCGTCTACTTTCATAGCTAGGAATAAAATAGTGTCATAGAACCAAACTAGCTGAATTAACGGATCAAATATTTAAAACAGGAATTTTAAATATTTTTATCTCATCTTTGAGAAATGTATACTAAACGTTAAAACGTAACTAGGGACCAACCCGAGCAGAGCGAGGATGAGTCACTAGTTTATTTATACATACCTATATTAAAAGTCACAAATAATGATTTTATTCAGTTTACACTTTCCCAGAAATATGTAACATAATTGCATTTTCTAATCCCTCTCTACCAAAATATTTTTATTATCTTATCGATCGAAACTATTGAAAATCATAATCAAAACTGTGTAGTTATTTCTCTTGAATTTGTTTTTGTTTTTTACATGATATCATATCCAGTATATGAAAAATAGTATGAGTAAGGCAAAATGACGAAACACCAAACAAACAAAAATACTCATATTGAGCAATGAAAATAACTTATGTTGAAATATTAGTGAATATTATAAGAACCTAAGTAATTAATATAATTCGTAAAATACAGTTTAAAAAATTCATTATAATTTACAAAACAAATTAACTAACAACTGTCTATGCAAATATTATCCTGCTATGTCGTAAGAATTATCCAGGTATTAATTTGATATTATTTTTGGTTACATTATAGTTTGGTATTATATTATTGTACCTATTGTATTTTGTTACGCCATAAGTACACAAAAATATATTAAAATCGGTCAAATCATTTAGAAAAAGTATTACAAACACATGTAGGTACTCATATAGCGAATTTTTTTTGTCTAAATATTACAAAGAGGTAAAGTTTGTGAGTTTGTAACGTAATAGGGGGTAATCTCTGGATCTACTGAATAGTTTGAGATCCTGGGAAGGACATAGGGTACTTTTATCCCAGAAATCATCCTTAATGAAAAAAATTGTATTGGGAAGCAAGCTAGGGACGAACCCGAGCGAAGGGAGGGTGAGTCGCTAGTATTATATAAAGATAGCTTACCCTGGGTGGTGCACTCATCTTCAGAGCCGAACAGTGGGACAACACCCTTGTCGACCTTGATGCCGGGGATGATACCACGCTTCTCCAATAGAGACACGAGGGGAGTGCCATCGTCGGTCTTCTGGTACAAAGTCTCGTGGAATAAGATCACACCAGAGATGTTTTCGGATACAGCCTGTAGAATACAATTATTAATGTAGAAAATATTATTTTAAATTACATAACTTCAAAATCATCCAACATCCACGATTTTTTTCTTTTCCTTCAAAATTATTATATGGTTTTATGGCAAGACAACGTATGTAATACATATATGGTAACTATTGAGATGTCAAAAACCCTGTCTCTCCCGTGACCATGATAGCTGTAAACTGTAAAGCATTCGAAACATCGGGAATAAAAATTCAAAATAAAATCACGAAAAACCGAAAAGATAGATTCATTATCAAAACCACCTTAATTTTGTTCCACTTTTAAGTGGAATATTATGAAATTAACGAATTATTAACTAAAAAAAAGTACCACTGCAGTTGTCGAATCATATTTTTATCGGCACAAGACACTATCGCCAACAAAAGGACAATAATTAAAATAACCTTCAATTTATCCTACAAAATTTAAAATGAATCAATTTGTTTGTGACGAGTTCACTCAATTTAATTTAAAATATCAATGATTGACTCACATCCACATCTGCGTTCAACTAATCAACAACTTATGTGAGTATCGGTTCAAAACACTATTTATTGTAAGTATTAAAAAAATATAAAAGAAAAAATAACAAACAAGTGAATATAATGAAATTTCTTGAAATTTAATAAAAATTAAAAAATAATGATTCAAGCCATTGACTTAAATTATTCCATTTTGTACGTACGTTTTAAAACTTAAAATAAAAGACCAACACACAAAGTTCGATTTCCTTATCCTGATAGTGATTACTAACAAAATATGTACGCCATGTTAGTCACGAACAAGCTGTAAGTATGACGTTGTACGCGTGAAGGAGGAAAACTAAGTAACATAACTTTCACGCATTACACCGGTATAGATTGAAAAAATAATTTGTTGTTTAGAAGTATTAATTATATTAATTAATTTATAAATAAATATGGATAATATCCAACATTTTTCTTTGAGGCGTTAGAAGAATCAATTAGGATTGGCCTTGCAACGAATATTCGACTACTATTCGGTATTCGGCTACTTTTATGCTATTCGGCCGAATACCGAATATTTAGATACTATTAGGCCGAATACCGAATACTTCAGTAATATGTTTTGATGTAAACAGATAATAATAGGGAAATAACAGAGCGATTAGCGATTTTGTCGCTTACAAATGAGTCGTCATTTCTTTGTATATCGTACTCTGACGTCACCCGCAAAATGGCGAGCGTTTAAAGTATACGTAACGGTATGATATTTAAAAAAAATATACTTGCATAAGTATATTTTTTTTAAATTTTTGGAGCTATATTGTTTTTCTTTTACAATTATATAACGATGTAAGCTATTATATTAAAACTAAAAAAAAATCATGCATATTCCCTATTGATAAAATGAAAATATTGATTTATTTTATAATATATTTTTCTTATTAATCATTAAAGTAGCCATAGGTACATGATCACCTTCTTTATTACAAAAATTAACAAAAAACCCATAACACAAACCCAAATAAATGTCTATGCACTTGTATTATCATAATTAAAATTTAGAAGTGTAAGACTATGATGCAGAAAGACTAATTTTTCTGCATTTTCAGGCAGTAGTTTACTCCTAGACAATCTCCGACTCAGAGAAAAGCCACTCTGAATAAATACTACTTCCTGGCGCCAAACAAGAAACAAACACGTAGATACAAGTTTTCCCGCAACGTGCTGACCGAATACTTTTGCCTAATATTCTGCTATTCGGCCAGAAAGCCCACCAAATATTCGGTATTCGGCGTATGGCCGTATGTACTATTCGGTGCAAGTCTAATTAGGATAAATTCGTAACTTATGAAGAATCTTTATCTATACATATAATAAAATTGTAACTAAGTTGAGTCTGTACAATTTTTTTAAATGACACACTTACAGGGTCAGAGCTGAAGAGCAGCTGACGGTACTTGCGGCGATTTTCTTCAGTGTTTTCAACGCCGATATCTTGAAGACGTTTGCCCATGGTACCTGAACAGAAAAAAATCGTAAATATAGGTAGGTATTTATTATTAAAAACGTACTTACATTATCGATTTATACAAAAATATCTATTCGTATAGTAAAATTCTAAGCCGAATCTGTACATTACATATTTTTTGGAAAATTTTATTGAAATAGTTATTAGTATCGATACAGAAGCCGAATTTATAGTTTTAGAATTTGTCTGTCTGACTGTCTTGGAACGCATCGTGAGAAAACCACTGGACAGATTTTGATGAAATTTGGTATGATGATAGCTGGTGGCTCCGGGAAGTAAGTACTTTTTACTGCGGGAAAATATCTTATCTCTAAGAAATCTATACTAAAACTTAAGATGTAACTAGGGAAAAACCCGAGCGGAGCGAGGGCGAGTCGCTAGTCGTAAACACATTTATTATTCAAATTATATTTATTATTACAAAGGATATTTATACTTTTATAAATTAAAAAAAAACCTTATTTTTTAAAGATATGTTATCCTATAGAATTGTTATTCCAAAATAATAATGTATTTTATGTAAAAATGAACGATGTTTCTGTCTGAACAGACAGACAGAATGTGTTTTTTCTTATAAGTACCGTATATAATTTTATATGCATTTAGTAAAAAGCTGTTATTTTGACGTTACAAATAAACAATTCAAATTTAATTATCTGTATATTAAATAATACTAATATTTCAAAACCATTACATCTTTATCTTTAAAAAACACTGTCATGAGAATATGTTTATAGATGATAAGCGTACCGCTAAAGGGTAAAAGTAGGTATTATCGCATTTAAAAAAAAACATAAGATAGTAAACACTACACTCACTTAAGCCTGCGACTTCGCTCACACGTTTCTATCATATAGTCTAATATCAGTAAATTTATCTAGTCTTGAATTATATTTTGGATATTATATAATATATTTTATTAAACTCTTAAAACTAAAAATATATATTTTGTATTCTACAAACGGTCTGTTATTGTTTTATTTTGTATACCTACATATATATTAAAAGTTATCTTACCAGTGGACTCATCAGCAGCGAGAATACCCTTGCCAGGAGCAACGATCGCTTGCGCGATCTTCTTGAGCTCTTCCTGGACCTCGGGAGTAGGGTACTGGAAGTATGTGGTCATTGTGGCTGCAAAGAAGACATTTTTTTTAACATCCTGCTTATTTATATGGAGTAGCAGTACATATATCTACACTAATTACTATTATAAAGAGTCAAAGTTTGTCTGTTTGAACGCACTAATCTCAGGAACTACTAATCCGATTTGAAAAATTCTGTTTGCTTTGGATAGCCCGTTTACTGAGGAAGGTTATAGGCTATATATCATTCCGTAAAATGTACGGTTCCCGTAGAATAGATTTGTTTTGTCTAATTTATAATAATCGTTAAGTACTTATTTAACCAAAAACACTTCTATTAGATTTCAGATACAATAGTATATGCTGAATAATATACATATTTGTGTTAATCTTTAAATTTTCATAAATATTGCGTTAGTTTTTTTAAATGTAACGCTACTCAAGATATCATTTATAGCCTTTTAATTACTAAAATTCTTTTTTAAAATATCCTATTAATATTATAAACGCGAAAGTTTGTGAGGACATGTATGGATGTCTGGATATATAGACGTATGGATGTTTGTTACTCTTTCACGCAAAAACTACTCAATGAATTAAATATAAACTAAAAGAAAACTTTACAATAATATAGCTCATACATCAGAATAACACATAGGTTCCTTTTTATCCCAGAAAAATGTACGATTTGTTTTCCTTTTGTTGTTTAATAATAATTATTGGGTAAATAAATACATAAACACAAACTTAGGTATTTTGAAAGGACATTTTTTTAAATTATAAAATTAAAATAATAATAAAAAAAAAACTTATTTTTAAATAGATAATGTTATCAAATCAATTCTATTAAATGAATGTCATGGTAAACGTCACAGAAGGTGTGTGTACCTAGTAGGCACTTATTAATATGCAATCAGACACACCTCCATTTTTAAAACAAGTTTCACAAGTAATTTCCAGTTTTACAAAGCTTACTTTGTAAATATTGCTAAGGTTACATACGAAATATTCTTATTTATATATTTATAATGAACAAGCGACTCACCCTCGCTTCGCTCGGGTTATTGGTTCCCCATATAAACTTTAATCCCCATTTTCACCCCCTTAAGGGATGATTTTCGGGATGAAATCCTATTCTATGTCCTTCCCAGGGTCTCAAACTATCTTCAAACCAAATTTAATCTAAATCGGTTCAGTAGATCCAGATATTACCCCCAACAACATCACAAACTTTACCTCTATATAATATTAGTAATGAATTATGTTTAACAAATAAGCTTTACCCCGTGGCCTCATTTGTGTTTAAAACCAGTGAAAAGTAGCCTATTTCATTCATTTTCACAATCCAAATTTACTAACATCTAGTGTATAAGCTCTATAACATAAAATACCCTTAATTTTCTATTCTCTTATGCTTTTCTTTTTTTTCTAGTAGTAATAAATAAATAAAAGTAGCCTTTTTTTTCTTAGGATAAAAAGTAACCTGTCTCTTGCATGAATTATCCGGAACACAAATTAGTTTGTATTACTAAAATTCTTATAAAATTCATTCATACATTATGATATTAGCTAATTTGAGTTAGCTAACTTAAAAATTGATTTATTTTTTATAATAAATATTATAGTACTAAAATATTTGAATATATAATTTCAGCAAGTCTTAATTTAAAATTTAGAAGTAAATTTAAATGGTAACATTTTCTTCATTCAAAGTTGTAGGAAAAAGAGAAAATAACTTCTCTTTATTCTTAAAATTAATTTCTTTTAATAATAACCAAATGATACAAGACAATGTAATGTAATGTAAAAAATGAATAATTAAAAATACTTCAGCTGTAAATTATCAAGTTTTGTTTGACAAAATTTTCAATTAAAAGGAATAGGTATACCTATCTGAGCCTATACAAGTAATAATAAGTCAGCGAAAAAAAACATTATTTTCATTATTATTCATTATCATAATATGTTTCTGATTTCTATTATTATTTTCAATATTATTTACAAACGCAGATAGGTCCCAAAAAGTTTGTGGTGGAACTTGAATAAAATCATGATAAAACAACTTTCTAATAAGATAACTAAATTGTTAATCATTTTAAAGACTCATTAACTGTGTAAATTGGATGTGTTGATTACTCCAGACCCGATTATAAAATGTAAGAAAACAAGTTATATTGAAAAGAGTGTAGTATACATATATCTAAATCTATAATATATCTCTATAATATAAAGTACCTAAGTACTGTGCCTAAAAACATTACTCTTTCCTATCATTAAACGCAAAACTTTGTAAATATACCTTTTGTTCCAAATCCTGGCATCCATCCTGATTCAGGTGGGCCTTTATTACCTTTTTTACCTTTAGGTGGCATTTTTTTATAAATATTCTTTTATAACATTAATAAAAACTTTATAATATACTCGACATTTTATTTTTAAAATACAAATAACTTACCAAAATAAACTGACACAATGCCACAATGATATGTCAAAATATTTAACAAATTTTGTTTTATTCAAAGAGATTTTGAAAAACGAATTTTTAATTTCATTTGGGTTCTGACCTTCTGACATAACTGTTTAAAAATAGTACAACACTATTGTAATAGGTATATTACAAGAGATGTGTCTCGAAACAAAGTTAAAAAAATACTTACCTATTTTATTTTAAGGATTAGTATTTTATGAAAAAGAATATAAAATATATTACATATTATTAGTGCTAGGTATTTTAAAAGGTGACCGCGACCTTCAGAGGTCACATGCAGTTAGGCGTCATGAACATAATAAACATAAGTTTTATTTCAGCACACAAAAGAAATGCTTTCTATTGAAAATTTGGACATTTACCAAAATAAACTTTAGCGAAGATATAATTAATTATAATTACACGTGTAAACTAAAAGTAACAAAAAAATCAATAAAAATATCACAAGAATAATTTTGGTGTCCCAGAATAGATTTTAAGAAGTAATTTACGCATTTTTTATTATTTAATGAGAAAAGTTAGACTGTATAAGTAATAAAGATTTTATATTTAGTTCTCAATATTTTGTAACATATCTTAGATAATTTTATTTCTCTATTAGATTTAAATATTTTCGGTCTTAATTACTTGGATAAATTAAACATTATCACAATATTACATCACGTATTCCATAACTTACAAAAAAAGTTAGCAATTGTCCTTCGGTATGATATCATTTAGATATTCTCGTAATTACTTATGTAATTGAATTAAGAAAATATCTATAAAAATAAGTGAAAATCCACTTACATTTTGTTATAGGATTCTAATCAGAACTATAGCACTCCCAATCTGGTACTGAATAGAACTGTCAAATTTGTTAAAGAGAAGAGAGGACACGATTGAAAGGTCATTTGAAGGTCTGATAATCATGAAGCAGTCAGTACGTTTTACCGACGACGTACACCGCCATCTATTAACATATTTGAAAACCACATAGGTTTAAACCATAGAGTATATTGCTACATATGTAAATTGTTTAAACTTTTCAGATGTGAAATTGTTTGGTGATATGTAACTAGATGGCGCTGTAATTTTTTTTTAAGCACACGAGTGTTTCTTCTATTGCCTTAAAGTATTGGTGAAACGGATAAGCAGAGAAAATCAGAAAACACAATAGCATCTACCTTATAATTGTAAAAAAATATATATTAAGAATACTTAAAAATATTTTTAGTACACATTCTTTTAGCCGTAGAATGTGTGTATTTATATTATTAGGTACATTTTGTTTAAATCAATAGCTAATTCAATTGAATTGTAGGTATATGATATTCTTATAAATATAAAAACGTACAGCTCAACTATAAAATAAATACACATCTTATTTTTATCATAATATGCGTAAGATAGCCTGACACACTAAAGCAACAATTAAATAATCTTTATAGACTTTATCACAACATTACTCGACTTATCGCCCTCATTGTAAAGTGTAAACAATTATTTATAATATTATATTTCAGTATTACATAATTTCTTATTAATTGTAAGACTATCAATACTTAGGACGCTTGTTTAATTCAAATTAAAAGTAATAGATTAAATAATATACATTGTTTTCGTCATAGTTTTCATTTAAAATCGGCTGTAATATAGTTTTTATACTATAGATATTTACCATAAGTTATTCTTTACAGAACCATGTCCACCTTCTTCTCATATCCCGAATTGGAATTGCAAAGAGAATTAAAGAGGACCGCTGAAGAGATTGTTGCTCCTGGAAAAGGAATTTTAGCAGTTGATGAAGCTAACGGTAAATCTATTTATTAATCTATTGTTGCACACTATTAACTAGTACTAACATATTTATTATGAACAAGTGACTTTCACTCAGCCTCGCTTCGCTCGGGTTCATCCCTAGGTGCGTTTTGACGGCATGGAATAGACAGATTATATTATATTATAGTTTATACATACATATACATAGGTATGATAAGTTGTTGTGGGTTGTATTATAACGTGTTTTCCCGTGGCAATGAGATAATATCCTACGGTAAAAAGCCTATGTCACTCTACAGCCCCCTCAACTATCTCAACGAGGCTAATTCGTTCATGATCTCAACACAAAAACCACGCTAATCTGTCACTTTGTTTCGACGTGAAAAAAGGACAAATGAACAACCAAACACACACACATTTATAATATTAAAAAATATGTATGTACCTCTGGATAACTTTTGAATACAAGTTTCTTTATTCACCGAATCTAAAAAGAAGTTAAGAATTCAATGCCCAATTGTGAATAGATTTACATACATAATTAGTTTTTTAATAAATGGGGTTAAACCTTAAAAGAGGGCCCCATATAAATTAAAAAAAAACTTTAGCTTCTAAAATAAATGCAGGTAGGTTATTTTAAGTTTATTTTATTTAATTACGAAAGTTTGAATGTATGTGTGTGTTGTTAATTCTTTACGCTGTAACAGCTGGACGGATTTGGACGAAATTAAAATCTGGAATAACAAATAAACACCCAGGAACGCATACGAGCGAAGCAATAAAATACTTAATGATTGACTGTTTGTTTTTCTGTTTGTAGTTAAAAGTAACTTGTTTTGTACATTTCCGCGTATATATCTAATATAGCTTTAAATAGACCTACGATAATACGATTTGTTATAAATATCGTTGGTTCATTAATTTTATTAGATAATTTGAAAATTATTAGTTTTCTTTCCTTTATAGTTCCTTATGAAATTGGTGAGTTATTTTTACGCTCTTAAATAAAACTATCTTTTCGGATTATTTTCTGTTATGTTTATATTTATTATTTGATTTTATTATATTAATAACAGGATCCCATGACGATGGTAGTACCCAGCCATCTTCCCTATTGAAATTCCCTATTGAAAATAAATCCGCGAAATAATCCGAAAAGATAGTTTTATTTAATAATGTCAAACATTCGCGTAAATCTAAGAAAGTATTATATTTTTACGCTCGTTAAGATTTCTAACATAGGTACTTAGTAAGTACCTAGCTAACTTCAACGTATGATAGATGGCGAGTCAAATTAGATTAAATATTATATAAAGTTTGCAAGTTTGGGAGTTAGTTTGTAATGGATAAACTAAAAATCCGCTAAACCGATTTAGATGAAAATGTGAAGATAGTTTGAGACCTTGGGAAGGATATAGGATAGTTGTTATCCCGAAAATCATTCCTGAAGGGGGTAAATTTTGAATTTTTTAAATTTTGAATTTGATTTTATTGTTCTATGTATGTAAGTATGTACCACACTACAAATGTTTTTTACGGAAGATCTTACTACAATATAAATGCGAAAGTTTGGGTGGATGGATGTTTGATATTTGTTACTCAATCACGCCAAAACGGCTGAACGAATCTGGATGAAATTTGGCACAGAGATAGATTATAATAAGTATAATATGTATAGAATAGTACATAACAAAAAAAATGTACGGTTCCTGTGGGATAAATTTGTTTTTATAGTTCGATAAATAACCTTGAATGCCTTAATTTTATATAATTGCGTTTACAGAGGCTATCGGTAAGCTACTCGCATCGGTAGATTTGGAGAATACTGAAGACAATAGACGCAGATATAGACAGCTTCTTTTCACTGCTAATGATGTAAGTTTGAATCAAACCTATTTTTTAATCTAGATGTTATTTATTTTATATATATATAGCACTGAGCATTTATTTGTTTTTATATGAGGCCTCGCTAACCTGTACGTATATTTCTGACCAGCGGCTCACCCTCGCTTCGCTCGAGTTCGTCCCTAGCTTGTTTCCCAATACAAACTTTAAATATACTATCGATATACACCCAATTCCGTTCTCTAAAATGCCTTATAAACAAAAAAATAACATTATGAAACTTGGCTTGCAGATTATTTTAAAAACATAACCATTTTCTTAACAATGCATAACAACTAGGAACTTTCAAAGAACGTTCAAAGAAAATAAAAAAAAAATGATCACAAAACTAAACTTAAGGTTGTTCTTTAAAATTTCCATAAAATTAATTAAAAACAATAAATACCCAATATAAATAAAACAAAAAATACAAATTTAAAATAAGGTTTAGAACCAGTACCTGACAGTTTAGTAGTATTCAGCCCTTTTTAACGTCCCACTGCTGGGCATGGGTCTCCCTTCAATACGAGGTGGATCAGGCCATAGTCCACCACGCTGGCCAAGTGCGGGTTGGCAGACTTCACATGTCTTTTGAAAACTTGCTAGGTTCTCTCAGTCATGCAGGTTTCCTCACGATGTTTTCCTTCACCGTTAAGACAAGTGGAAATCATTTCGCACATGAAAATATCAAAGGTGCGAGACCCGGGATTTGAACTCGCTTCACTCGGTTTCCCAAGCGAGCGCGTTACCACTGGTACCACTAATAACAATTAATAATAAGTAACAATTTGTAATTCCCTAATATACCTACCTACCTGTCAATAAAAAAAATAAAAACAATGTTCGTGTAATTTCTGTTTAGTTCTATACTTTGATTGTAGTCACGTCCTGAGTTTATTGAATAACATTAATTAACTAACGTTGCCTTTGCAAATCAATAGAATTACCAATTGAATTGAAACGATTTATTTGAACAGGAGGCCATTTCATTGTATAAGAAACCAATTTATCTATTCTGACCCAGCTGTTTGGGTTTTTGATTGATGTCTTGTCCATCTGAGGTAATCTCACGGTGATAGAGCAGAATTTCGATAATATATGAAATACTAGTGAGTGGTGACCCCACTTATTGTTAACTAATATTCTATGAGATCTACTTGTCATTTTAGTTTTAAGCTTAATCTATGGAACTTTCTTTTCTAATAGATACAAAGTAGCCTAAAACTGATATAAAGTAAGCAACTCTATGTAAACAATACTTCGATTCTTTACTTCTTTGCTGTGTATATGTAAGAAGATAGACCCAACACACACACATATCACATTTATTTTATATTTAATACTAGCATTACCCGCGGCTCCGCCCGCGTTCAAATGACCAATAACCAAATTCTTAGGGTTTACATATTAGTATACTACTCTTACATTGCAGTTTTTGTATTTTTTCTCAGAAATGAGACATTTTCTCGCAGTAAAAAGTATCCTATATGTTGACCCGGATAACCAGCTATCATCACTACTTTTTACTGCGGAAAAATATCTCATCTCTGAGAAATCTATACCTAGTACACATAGTATTATATGGTATGTGTCTATACTAACCATTAAAACGTATCTAGGGAAGAACCCGAGAGGATCGAGGGTGAGTCGCCAGTAATATATATAGGTAATCTATAAATACCTGTTATACCCAAATTCTTTTTATAAATCTTGAAGTCGTTTGATAACGTTTAAGCAACGTGGTAAAGCTTCAGCATGTAAATGGCGTGAAATAGGAAAGCAAAAATAACGAGACCATAATATGGTACTAACGTGTATTGTTTAAAAGAATTAGTAATACGTACATTCTTCCATTGTTCAAAACCCTTTATTGTTAATTAATTACTAGTAAATTGATATTAAATATAACACGTTGTCCTGTGCGTCATGTCATAATTCGTTGGCTCACTATTACAAGGTTCTATGTTAATTTTAATGCAGTTTAGTAATTTTTACATAGAACTTCGTTATTTTGTTATCGTAAAAACCACAACATAGAACTATGTAAAATTGAATATTTTGTAGTTATCGTGCCGCTATCTAGTGGTTTGTTTTTGCAAAACTGTAGCAATGACACATAGAACCTTGTAGCATTAATAACTAAATAAATATGTACTAAAATTGTAACATAGAACCTTGTAATAATGAGCCAACGAATTATGTTAATAATTTTCAATTTGTTTTAAACTTTAATATGCTATGAGAATTGATCATATAAGATCATCGTTTATTCACAATTAACAAATAAAAGTATCTATTTTTTAAATTTCTTTAATTAAAATAATCTATACATATAATAAAATCGTAACTAAGCCGAATCTGTACATTGAACATTTTTTGGAAAATCTTATTGAAATAAACATTATTATCAATACAGAGGCCAAATCTATAGTTTTTAGATTTTTTGCCTGTCTATGTTTCTACTCGCGGGTTCGCTCGTGTATATTTTCTTTCGTTTTTCATCGTTCTTAGGAGCTAAAGGTTCAAATTTTAAAAACTTTATTGAATTGAAACGCTTAACTGGGATATAAAATATTCTATGTGCTAGTCCAGGACATAATCTGTTCTTGCTTAGATTCATCCAAATTCCAAACCCTGTTCCTGTATCCATGTATCCAGCCCTATTTTACGTCCCACTGCCAGGCACGGGTTTTCCTTAAATACGAGGAGGATCAGGCAATAGTCCACCACGCTGGCACCGGGTTGGCGGACTTCACACGTCTTTCGAAAAGTTGCTAGGTTCTCTCAGACATGCAGGTTTCATCACGATATAGCTTATGATAGTAAAGCACACAAATAAATGTTATCTAATTATATGTAAGAGCTTTCATTTCACACATAGTTTGTGTTTATATCTCTACTTTTACAACTCTATTAAATACCTATAGCTTTGATTTTTAACTGGTTTTTAAAGAACCAAAACTCAGTCCATATTTTTTTCTACATATGTTCGTTATACGATTTTTTATCATTTTTAAGTCAATTTTCTATTATTTTATGAATAGACGATACTTGAGGGTGATTGATTGAATAGATGACTAATTAATTACATTAAGCTTTCGAAGTACATAATCTCGACCATAATGTAAATAGTATTTTGCAAATCTGCGATTATTGTCGTGGTCACCGTAGTTTTAGGGTTACATATATTTTCCCCCCAACGTGCGTTCACCTTGTCGTGGTGGGGGGCTCAGTAGTAGTAGCGAAGCTAAGAAACGCACAGGGAGGTTGCCCACTTCGGTGGGCGGTGGGAGGTGGCCTTCTTCGGGGGGCGGTATACCATGCGGGTTGCTCCTGGTACTTCTCTGATAGCAGAGTGGACCTTGGAGCAACCCCATGGTTGTGTTGGTCTGCTTTGGCAGACCTGCCGTCGGGGTGTCGTAGTTGAATGCGTAAGCGATCCTGCGACGCCCCATTAAGACGGGGGAAGGTTTTGTTGGGTTTTAGTGGGTAGTACTGGCTGTATTACGCCGGTGAGTCCCACACGTCGTGCGTAAATGCATTTCCCAACGTTAAAAAAAAAAAAAAAAAGGGTTACATATATTTTGAAAGCCGGCGTAACCTTTTAGTTTTATCATTATAATAATTATTATTGTATTAATGTATCCATGTATTAAGCCCTTTTTAACGTCCCACTGCTGGGCACGGGCCTCCCTTCAATACAAGGAGGATCAGACAATAGTCCACCACGCTGGCCAAGTGCCGGTTGGCGGACTTCACATGTCTTTCGAAAATTTGCAACGTTCTCTCAGACATACAGGTTCCATCACGATATTTTCTTTCATCGTAAAGCATGTGGTAATCGTGTTAGAAATTATTCACACTTAAAGATTATCAGAGGTGCGAGACCCGGTACTAGAACCCGCTTCACTCGGTTTCCCAAGCGAGTGCGTTACCACTGAGCTACCACTGCCTAAAAAATATTAATAAAAAAACCTTTATTAAAGTATTCATAATACACACTATTTAATATATTTTAGTACATTCTTGACTTTTAAATTTTGGTCGATGCAACATAAAATCCAAATATTATACATACATATAATTTAATTTCAAAATATTCAATCTGTTTCAGGATATATCTAATAACATCTCAGCCGTTATCCTTTTCGATGAGACGGTGTATCAGAAAACTGACGAAGGAATTCCTTTTATCGATGTATTGAAGAAGAAAAACATCATACCTGGCATTAAAGTGGACAGAGATGTGGTCCCGTTATATTTATCTGAGAATGAGTTCACGACACAAGGTACAATTTTTAATAGTTCATAGAAATAATTTTATACACAAAAATGGGGAAACTATGTGTTGGTGGTCCGTAGAACACACACAGGACACATAACAAGTCCGCGACTAATAAAATACGATAAGTTCGCAGTTTCATTTTAATATGGATATTGAACTGCCTCGGTGATCTAGTGGCTCGCACTCAAGGAGTTGCTTGAGTTTTTCTCTTAGAGAATTCTCAGTAGCAGCCGGGGATTGGGAAGTTGACGGTGTTACACCCCGTGCCGTTGAGAACACGTAAAGCGAAGGCTGCCACTTAGGTCTTGCTCCTTAAGTTTTACCGGTCCTATTGAAGTATCGTCCCACAGGACTTTGAAACGGAAACGGAATAGAGAGTGCACTTATGTTTGCGCGTACACTTGTGCACTGTGATATCTCCTTGGCTTATCCAAGTGTAATTGGCTACCGTGACTGATATTGGTCGGACTGTTAAGAACTTTCCGCATAAAAAAATAATTAGAGCTAGGGTTTGGCATTCAAATATTACAGTAAATTCGTACTTTTCCATAGTTTATTTTATTGATTGAACTCGTTAATCTTTAGAGTTCATATGATAAAAAATATTAAAGTTATCATGAAAACATAAATGAAACTTAGTTTCCTCTTGAGAAGAATTGTCCTTTGCACTGTAAATAATACTTACATATAGGAAGATGTTTAGTGTTTACTTAAAAAATGTTAATATCATATAGAATTTATTACAGAAAATATCTAGGTTTCTAGCCTTTGAGCTTTTATACGAAAAGTTCAGAAATGGGAGGCAGCGTGTATATTATATATTGTAGTAGGAATGGATTCTTAGATGTAATGAATGAATTTATTCCAGAGCTTTAAAATGATATAACTGTCTTTTTTTTCTTATCAAAGATTCTAATTTAATAATTTATTTCATTTAAAACTCATTATTATTTAACAATTTCTTTAAATCTGTTAAAAAAATAACTCGAGAAATAAACAGTGGATATTTTTGTTTAAATGTTCTACATTAAATTCATAGAATTTCTCATTGAATGTCATGACTACCACCAGTTGAGAAAAAAAAAGCTTTAGCTTTAATAAGAACTGCCAAAATAAAATTCATTTTATTTTTTTATTCATTTTATTAAATAAAGTAATTTTAAAAATAATTAAGGTTAGATATTAAATTTCCCAATATTATTTCACGTCTAACATTATACTCTATATATTGACTTATTATAATTTATGCTAATTTTTAAAATTATAGGTCTCGACAATTTAGCTCAAAGATGCGCAGAATATAAAAAGCAAGGCTGTAGATTCGCAAAATGGCGGTGCCCTTTGAAAATTGGACAAAACACGCCTTCAATTCAGGCTATTCAGGACACGGGTAATGTTTTGGCTCGGTATGCATCGATTTGCCAAAGTCAAGGCTTGGTGCCGATTGTTGAACCTGATGTACTGTTGGATGGTAAGATTTTCTTATAAGTATTATACAAGTAAGTTCTAAAGAAATTAAATTATTATTTGTAATTTGTTTGAGATAATATAATCACAAATACTTACATACTCTTATAATTTTCATGTAAAAATAAGAGATGTCGGATCTCTATATAATTTAATTTTTTTATTATTAAAAATAGTGACTTACACGTTCCTACTGTTTAATAGGAAGACCTTTTATTTCTGTAATACATTGTTTTCATATAACTTTGTTATTTACACGGCGTACGCCAATAAAGCTCCCAGCCAGGATGACTTTTTCCGACATTTTCAACAATCATCGTCATATTTCAGCCAATTTATACAAAACATTATGAATAATACATTTAAATTTTTCTTATCAATTACTCCATTTATTGGTGAAAACTGTATGAAAATCAGTTTGGTAGTTTTTGAGTTTATCGCGTTTGAGTCGGATGAAACTGGACTGGATTTAGATGAAATTTGGTAAAAAAATTGTTTGAGACCCTGGGAAGGACATAAGATACATTTTATCCCGGATATAATCCCTTAAGGGGGTAAAAATGGTTATAAAAGTTTCTTTGGGTAATCAAGCTAGGGACGAACCCGAGCGAAGCGAGGGTGAGTCGCTAGTTCATAATAAAAGCATTTAATTTTTCGTCTCATCTTTATTTTGGAGCCAAAATCTAAGTAATATGCTTAGATTTCGGCTCAAACCGTAAACCGGTATATAATTGAGATATTATTACAGTATAAGTATAAATCATTCGTTAAATATTCCATCTCTTATTCTCTCCCAACAGTAATTATCATACTTTTTGAGTGTATGTTTCTCTTGAACTTGAAAATTTACTTCCACACAAATCGAAAAATATTTGAATTTCAGAAACTTTTCCTTTTTCATGAATTCTTTGCCTTTGACGAAAGTTGTCTAGTTCATTTTTTTTATGAAAAATTTAATAAAAAATTCATAACTCAAATAACTCCCTCTTAGGTCACAATGTAGGGTGAATATAAAATTTGATGGAATAAAAATTATAATGACCGACGTTTTTAATAATGCCACAAAAAGTAGCGAAATTGATTGAAAATGACTTGAGGACTCAAGGGCATTACTTGTTTTAGTATTCCCTATTATTACTTTATAATAGACCAGCATTGCCCGCGGCTCCGCCCGCGTTCAGATGACCAAAAACCAAATTCTTAGGTTTTACATATTAGTATATTCATTCTTACATTGCAGTTTTTGTATTTTTTCTCAGAAATGACACATTTTCCCGCGGTAAAAAGTATCATATGTTGACCCGGATAACCAGCTATCACCATACCAAATTTCATCAAAATCCCTCTAGTGGTTTTTCTGTGATGCGGTAACAGACAGACAGTCAAAAATTCTAAAAACTATAGATGCGGCCTCTATATCGATAATAATGTCTATTTCATTAAGATTTTCCAAAAAACATTTAATGTACAGATTCGGCTTAGTTACAATTTTATTGTATGTATAGATATACAGTTTATAAAATGATGCCCTAAAAGTAGCTGTTAAAAGGCTATTGATTTCTCCCGTCTTTTTCATTTCTACAATCTTGTTTTTATCACACCGATAAATATTGATTATCAGAGGTTTTTACAACAACTTCAAAAAGTTTTGTATAATAAAGTCACCCCGTCGCGTCTGTCTGTCTGAGCACGATAAAGTCAAAAACTATCGAACGGATTTTCATGCGGTTTTCACCAATAGAATGATTCATGAGGAAAATTTAGATGTACTTATGTAAAATTCATTAAAGTTTTGTTGTGAATTAGCTGAAATATAACGACGTTTGTTGAAGATGTAGGAAAAAATCATGCCGACTGGGAGCTTTATTGGAGTGCGCCGAGTGAACTAACAAAGTTATATGAAAATAATGTATTACAGAATTATTTCTCTTAAAAAGATCTACCTATTAAAGTGTAGCAATGCTATGTGCACGTATCTAGGGACACACTCTAGCGACGCGAGGGTAAATCACTAGTATATACAGGGTCATTTTTAATTTACTGAAAACCTTTTGGGAATATACTATTTACATCATAACAACAACATCTGTAACAAGAAAAATAATATTTCTTAAATTTTTATTTTCATACAATAATAAAAATATTTTTTTGCACCTTCTAAACTTTAAAGTTCTAGCATCTGGCCAAGTTTAAATGAGTAAGCGCAGCTTCCTACACCCCTCCACCCCTTCCCCTCCACCGGACACACGCTTTCTTTTGCTAATGCTGGACTATTACCGTTGAGAAGGTGCAATAAAAATATTTTTATTTTTGTTAAATTTAAGATATATTTTTTTTTACAGATGTTGTTATGTAGTAAATAGTGTATTCCCAAAAGGTTTTCAGTAAATTAAAAATGACCCTGTATAAATAAGTTTTTATGAGATAATAGGTATTCTGTATATACTAATGTAGTACGATCCGATTAGAGTAGCAGTAAAGAAATCGACATCTCCATTATTTGAGTTGTTCTTACACTGTATGTTGGCACTTAAGCTTTTAACCTATTATACTTACTTTAGATTAGTAAGAAGAAAAAGTACAGTTTTTGTCCGTGATTCTATACCGGGGACAAACAGTCCAACAAGGTAGATTAAACTTCGAGAGAAAGGTCATTTGACGAATCCTGATCGGTTGGGTAGCGTTGATACTGAAAAAAAATGTAATAAATGTTACTATTTATTTACATATCTAGAATACTTACCTATCTTTTAACTATCCCACTTTCATACCCTTCTGGTAAATAAATAGTGGAATTTAAAATTTTACTTGTTAAACGTAAATTATAAAACTGTAAAAACCCAGACTTAAATTTTCCCGGAATCAATTATAACTTGTGCCACTTTAATCATTTCCAATAATAGAATTTTTTAGTTGATAGAAAGAATATTTAATAAAAGTGAATCTCAATTAATTGTGGACTATGCCTACCGCGATACCATTTAAAAAAATGCGCTATGCACGAAAATCATTGTCATGTAACGATTACACTGGCACGCGTGAAGCACTTAATCGAGTAATCATACGCCAAAATGCCTTACATCATTTTGGAAAAGAGCTGATACTCTTACACTGCTGGACTGATATTAATTAAACATAGCTAAGAACCACCGCAAGGAAACTGGCTTTCAAATGAAAAAAAACAGCATTAAAATCAGTCCATCAGTTTGAGAGCTACGATGCCACAAACAGACACACACGCACAGACAGACACACACGCACAGACAGACATGGACATCAAACTTATAACACCCCTCTTTTTGCGTCGGGGGTTAAAAATCCATATTTTTGACTTCAAAAGTCTTTGATCTTAAATAATATTTTTAGCAGTATATCTTAAATAATATTTTTGTAGTACCTATAGATGACCGATGAGGATTTTTGATATTTTAGTTATGATATAGTAAAATCCTATATAATAAAACCAAAAAATGATAAGAAAATAAATATTTTAATTAATGTATAGATCATTTTTTTAACTAGGAGACCATGACATTGTCAGAGCTCAAAAAGTGACTGAAGTAGTTTTAGCTACCATTTATAAGGCGCTGAACGATCATCACGTATTTCTGGAAGGAACTTTGCTGAAACCTAATATGGTAAATATTTTTTAAATACAGACATAAAATAAATAAAATTAAATAATATATTTTCAATTTTTGATGACATAACATGTTTTATATGTACATAAATATTATGATTTTTCTATTTAAAGATTTTAAGAAGAGACATAATAAATTGTATCAAAATACAAATTTTATTATAAAATCTTCTCTCCTCATATTCTTTAAATAGAAAAATTAATAAACCTGTATAAAAAGAAAAAACGAAAATGAAATATAATACCTAGGTATCTGATTACATCGCTTGTAGGTAACACCGGGTCAGCAGTGTCCTAAGAGAAGTAGTTCAAAAGAAATAGCATCGGCGACCGTCACCGCTTTACTAAGGACTGTACCCGCTGCCGTTCCAGGTTCGTTTGTTATTCGTATAATATTTAAATATAATAATAGGCAGTGGTAGCCCAGTTGTAATATGCTTTTTTGGGAAACTGACTGCGAATCATTTCTAAGTTCTAACATCATTACCACTTATCTTACAATGAAGGAAAGCATCGTGAGAAAACCTGCATATCTGAGAGAACGTAGCAAGTTTTTCAAAGATATGTGAACTCCACCAACACGCACTTGGCCAGCGTGGCGGGCTATGGACTGATTCTCTTCGTATTCGTAAAATGAAATCGTTGTATTGTACTGTAGTGCTAATCAGTAAGAATCAGTAATCAATGGGCTTAATATGATTTATGTAAGAAGATTTTTGACCGTATTTAGTAAAGCGCAGCATTATGGACCATCGTGAGATAGATCAACCTTAAATCAAAAAATGGGGCAATAAGATGTTAAAATGTCTTCATTTCTATCTGCCTGAATGCTGTATTTAAGTAGTTTTCTTTTAAGGGTTTTCTTCCTGCGGGTTTGAGTAAGTAAACGTCGAGTTACACGTAAATTATTTTTATAACCGTAGCCGTGGTTAACCAATATGTAAAAAGAATCATGGAGATATAATATACTTGTTAATTAATTATGTCAATTAATTATCGTCTCTACTGGTGACAGGAGGGCTGGCGTATTTTTCGCCCAAAGAATCGGCATTGCCATTCAAAGGGGGAATGCGGCTAGCATTCTTGCCACTATTACACGCGGACATAACTTGTACAGTAAAGTAACTAAGTGCACATTTGTTTTGTATATTTTGTATATAATTAAGTATATTTGTAATGTTCTTTATTGTAATAATACAATTAAAGTTCAAAAGTAAAAAAAAATGTTAACAGGTATTGCATTTTTATCCGGCGGTCAATCAGAAGAAGAAGCGACCACGAATCTAAATGCTATAAATCAAGTTGCTATGAAAAAACCTTGGGCCCTTACATTTAGCTATGGAAGAGCGCTTCAAGCATCTGTTTGGAAGATATGGAATGGCAAAGATGAAAATATATCGAGAGCCCAACAAGAATTGCTAAAAAGAGCTAAGGTAATCTTAAGGTTTTTAGTTTTTACTAATGCAAGTGGCATAATCCTTGCTAACTCTGAAATGTGTTTGTTGGTCCTTCTAATCGTAACCTCGTTACAAGTTTATTATAATTAGGTAGATCTCATCATCATCTCCTTATTTAGACATTTTTAGAGACCAAAAAGCGTGTTCTACCTATGTATATTGTATGCTGTATACCTATCACTAATAACAGGATATATAAATAACGTTTAAAATCTTTAACCCCGTTCTTTTTTACGCTATTTAAAATTAATTCTCAAAGTAAATCCCTCTCTAATTAAACACAATCTAATATCTAAGCCATTAAACTGACAGAACCGCCGAGTTCTCCAACAATTAATAGTTGGAAAACAAAACTTGTTACTAGTTCTTTGCTACTAAGTATTTAATTAAAATAAACATTCAGTATTGTTATATTAGTTTTGTTTATATGATATTGTAGTTGTTTCCTAAGCTTGAGACTTACAAAACTTTTATTATGAAGCACTTTTACTTGTTTTACCATTCCCTTCGCTAATTACAACGGTTAAAAATATAATCTACTAGCATTGCCTGCGGCTCCGCTCGCGTTCAGATGACCATTAACCAAATTCTTAGGGTTTACATATTAGTATACTCTTACATTGCAGTTTTTTTTTATTTTTTCTCAGAAATGTGACATTTTCCCGCGGTAAAAAGTATCCTATATGTTGACCCGGATAACCAGCCCGGGATAACCTTCAGTAGTTTTTCTGTGATGCGGTAACAGACAGACAAGAGGATAGATTATGATGATAGCTGGTTATCCGGGTCAACATATAGGATACTTTTTACTGCGGGAAAATATCTCATCTCTGAGAAATCTATACTAAACGTTAAAACGTAAGTAGGGACGTGAACCCGAGCGGAGCGAGGGTGCGTCGTTAGTACAAGCATATATTCAAGTAAAGTTGTCAAAAATCGTACAAACATTGAAATGAAGCTTACCACAATACAGTAGTTAAAACCGCAGCCAAATCGGTTAAGCCTTTTCTGAGTTTAGATCGCACAAACGCACAGACAAACAGATAAAATTTGAAAAAAATATTGTACTGGGTTCTATTCCGTTAATTAAGACCCCCAATAATGTACAGACAGCGATCAGTTACAATTTTGTTATATGTATAGATAATAATAAAATACTTACAAATTCCAGCAATATACTGTTACATAAACAATAACATTCATTAGTAATCCGAACAAACTGTTTATTTCAGGCCAATGGACTTGCTTCTCTTGGAAAATACGTCGGAGGTTCAGTCACATCGTCTGCTAGTGATACATCGAATTATAGTAAAAACCACAAATACTAGCCTATTGTGATGTATGAAAAAAAAATTCCCAGCATTTTTTTATATAAAACCTTTATATAGATATCTGTATATAAGGTAACCTATATATAGGTGCGACATAATAATATAAAATAAAAGTTAGTATGTTTGACCTTCTAAAGAATTGTATAATTATAAGACGGAGTCCGCCAAAATGAATGTCAAAGTCAGAAACAATAGCGAGATTTGAAATTTATGCTACTATTCTCGATTTTACCATGCAGATAGGTTTTTCTTTCTTTAAAGAATATGGAAAATTTTATATATATATTACTTCAATTAGTATACAATTTTTGAGAGTAACATACAAATTGTCATTTGTAACATTATACGAAATTAGTTTGTAACATTTTATACTATTTTAAAACATTGTTTGGCTTCAAGTTTAGTTTTATGACACTGTCTATACCTATTATTCCTTAGTCTGCGGTTCAACCATACAAAATTGTCTCTTTAATATAGAACATGTATGTACCTACTTGTTGTTCTTTTTTATTTTTATTCATTGTTTACATCATCATATCATTGTAAAGAGAATATAAATACGATGCCATGCGACTATTTATTTATTTATCTGGACCTGTAACACGCCAGAAATAATATAACGTAACGAATACATAAAAGCAAGATGCACTCTGATTTCAGGATGCGTAAAGATGGGCTTATCACTAAAATAGATAAGTTCTATATAACGTATATTCATAAGGTAATCGAGGGCTGCGTGAATAGTACACACAAGGGAATCCATAGTGTATAAAAACTTTTTTAAAATATACATAGTTTACATAGATATTTATAAAATAGAATGAGTTGTTTTTGGAGAATGAGGTGTTTCCGCTCGCGTCTCATCGATTAAGTTTCAAGAAAAACGATATTTGAGCCAAATACAATTATAAGCGATAGCAATTAAGACAGACAGACAAAAACTCTAAAAAATATAGATTTGGCCTCTGTATCGATAATAATGTCTATTTCAATAAGATTTTCCAAAAAATATTTAATGTACAGATTCGGCTTAGTTACAATTTTATTGTATGTATAGATAAAGTAAGCACGATGACAATATTCTGAATAGCGTTTTACTAAATAATGTTCAGTAAAACCACGGAAGGAAGTGGGATTATTCATCGGTAACAATAATTAAAAGTACTTCCACCATACCGGTTCTTATTTTATTCTACTTTTGTAAAGTCTTTGGGGAAAATCCAAATATACAATAAGTCCACGTGAGTCAAAACTTGTAATTACCAACAATAAATAGTTCTACTGAGTTTTTTTATTAGATCATCTATCTATATCCATCTATGTACGGGTCAAAATTTCGCTTCGCTTTTGCTTTCAAATTTCAATTTGAACGTTGATTTTTGTCTTAATATTGTTGCCATTTTTTTAAGACATCTTCGAATTTTGTATTTTATCAGTCTATACAAATACCTATGTACATTCTTAGTGCATTATATTAGATTTTTTTTCAGATTTAAAATAGTTACTGTAATATCCGTATCTGTTAATACTAACACCCTTGGTCTTCAATTCAATTAATTTATTCAGAGGTTTCTAGGAGTACCGTTAAGGTGCCCTTAGTCTTAAATCATAGGTTTAATTTGGCACTGACAAGTATATATTTTAAAACATTAATTCATGGCTGTAGGTAAGTATTAATATGATTAATTGAATTAATTTTCAAAATAATCTTAACTTTTATAACTTTTTATTACTATTTATTTAATCCCATTTACTAATTTTATTGTATTTTAAATAAAACTATCTTTTCGGATTTTGTCGCGGATTTATTTGCTTTTTTGTTTCCCGACGTTTCGAATGCTTTCAATGGTCACAAAAATTTTACTGATTGCATTTTTGGCATCAGTATCGATCCCTAATCACCCCCTGATAGTTATTTTGGAAATATATTTCATGTACAGAATTGACCTCTACAGATTTATTATAAGTATAGATTAATCTACATTTTAGTGTTGCCTCACTTTTTTCATTTGTAAATGTATGTAGTAATGTGTTGCTTAATAATTTGTTTTTAAATAATAGCAAATTTAAATTAAACTATTATTTTTAATTAATCTTAACTTTTTCAAATTACACATAGATCAATTGTGGCATAAATAATTAATATATTATGATTTTTTCTTTATGGTTATAAATATAATAATGGCAACACTAAAAATGTAGATTAATAATTAATATTTTTAAAATTGTAATAATTATAATAATTATAATAATAACAGCTCAAATTAAATAAATAATATTCTATATTCAATTATAAAGCTAATTAAAATTATGTTAAAAGTTAAAATAGTGTAAGGTACTTTAGTGCCATTTTTCAATTTTTTGGATTCATTTTGTTAATTGTGGGTAGGCTGTTTGTAACAACTATATAATACCTTAGAGACATCTAACACCTCAGTCTCTCCCGTGACCATGATTGCTGTAAAGCATTCGAAACGTCGGGAAACAAAAAAGCAAATAAATCCGCGACAAAATCCGAAAAGATAGTTTTATTTAAAATGTCAAATATTCGCGTAAATCTAAGAAAGTATTAATTTTATTGTATTTTTTTATGCATGTGCTTTTTAAATGATGCTTTCCGTAACGCGATTAGGAAAAAGGCCTAATTATTTAATTCGTGAGTAATTTAATTCGATGACACGTTTGGCTCAGTTGGTAGTACTTGATGTGCCAGCGGTCGCGGGTTAGAGTCCCGTTGGGGGCATTCATTTGTGTGATGAGCACGATTGTTTTTACTCCAGTCATGGGTGTTTATATTTATAATATGTATGTATTTAAAGTTATATATGTGTAGTGTATCAACTATCTGGTATACGTAACACAAGCCTCGTAGCTTACCATGGAACTAGATGACGCTGTGTGTAAATGTCCCAACATATATTTATTATTATTTATTGAAGGATATAAAAAATATATGGGAATATTCTATTATTTAGTTTCTATGACAATGTTTAAATTTGAAATAAGTAATTTTAACGATTGACATTATCTTTGGATCGATACCAAATAAGTCTTGTTTACCAATTTAGGTATGGGATTGTGTAAATCGATTCGATATTTATTGAACATTCTTCAAAATTTAATGAAAATGCTTAATCAGACTTAGATCGAATTTTATTTTCTTTTGGCTTCATTGGATTTACGTTTATGACAAAACGTCAATCTGATTTACTCAGAGTGGTACATACATACATACATTCATACGAGTACTCGTATTTGCCTCCTAAATGTAAAAGCTTATTCCTATAAGTATAACGTTACAAAACTGCATGCAATACTAGTATTACCGCTTGCAAAAATTACCATGATCGTTTGGTATTTCTTGTGACATTCAAATGTGATGTAGAAACCCGAAATGTATTTGAATTCTTCTAATTATATACCCGATGTACAAGTATCTATATAATAGGGTAGGTTAAGCCGATTCCATTTAATGATTTATAGTTTACTAACGGCTCACCCACGTTTTGCTTGGATTCGTCTCATAGTTACGTTTTAACGGTCAGTGCGGAATAGATAGACTATATATGTCTATTATAATGTGTTTTCCCATGCGAATGAGATAATCTCCCGCGGTAAAAATGGTGTCACTCTCCAGGCCTCTAACTATATCCATACAAAAAAAATCACGCAAAATCTTGCTAGTAGCGTGTCTTCAAAAAGTACTAAATTGCTGTGCTATATATATATATATATATATATATATATATATATATATATATATATATATAATTTTATAAAACACTTTGATCTACTAAAGTATTGGCTTCATAAAAACAAAAATAAGCTTACAAAAAAGGCTTTTGCTAGTCATTAAAGAGTTTTTATTACATTATCAAATCGCTCAATGGCTTTAAATTATTGTACGGTAAACTGTCCGTTCTCCCTACTTTTAATTGTCGTATTGATATGATGCTAATAAAACTTCAAATCAACATGACATCGAATTCCAAGATTTGATTACATAATTACTTAAGTAGAATGTAATGTGAATAAATGGAACGTATACGGGGGATGGGGGTGAGCTATTAAAATCCGGCAATCCAGCTGGTCATGAAGCCAAGAAATACACAGACGGACAGAAGGAGGCGACCCACTTCTGTGTATTTAATGTTATACATATATGTGTATCAACTATCTGGTATATATAACACAAGCCTCGTAGCTTACCATGGAACTAGATGATGCTGTGTGTTAATGTCCCAACATATTTATTTATTTAATCTTGCAGCGTTTATCGCGATCTGACAGCGATTTCTGTTCGCAAAATGTAATCGTTTTAAGGAATTCATGCGGGATGTCCGCTTACTTAGTGACTTTATTCTATATATAACCCTGTTAAAAAAAAGAAATATTTTATTAGGTAATGTTTTAAATTTTACCGGTTTCTAAAGACGTCATCCTCGGCTTATTAGTCACTGCCACCATATGCAAAAGGTACACTCCTCGCTAAGATAGTACTAGATGAATAAATATTAAAATTATACTATAAAATCTATGATAAGATTATACTAAACATAGAAAAGAGGCAGGCTGTGAAGAAAACTAGATTAGGTTTCTTAACACAATCCCATTGATTTTATAAATGCGGAAGTTGATGAAAGATGCATGGATGTTTGTAACTTAATCACTCCAGAACGACTGAACGGATATGAATGAAATTTGGGACATAGATAGGTTATAGTCTGGAATAGCATATAGGTCTTTTTTATCCCTGAAAGATGTACGGTTCCTGTGGGATAGATTTGATTTTGATGTTCACTAGGAACAAACCAGAGCGAAGCAAGAGTGAATTGCTAGTTATCAATAAAGCTTCATTATTTTGTCTTTCAATCTTACAATTACCACGGTAATGTAAAACATTACCGTGCTATTACATATCTCATGCTATTAATATTATATAGCCATTGTGAGACTTTTGTTTTTATGAAGTCCAGCTTAGCAGCTGAAAACAT